AATACAAGGTCCTGAGGCTTGAAGTGTTCCCTAAACTCAAACTTAAGTACATTATGGGGGAATTGTTCATTAGCCTATGGTATGTACTCATCTGCCTTTAAATTTCATTTTAAACATTTGTACTAATTGACAGACTAGATGCCCCAGAAATGCTGAAAAATCTACCAATAGGCAATTGCTTTATATGCCAGTGTGATCATTTGCATTTTGAAATGCAAATGCAAATTTGATCATTTTACTCTCATTAGCTATTGAATATTTCTCTTGCAATTTAACCATGGAGCAAAATTCGACAGTCATTTTACTGTTTATGACATTTGCCAAAAGAAAGAATAAGTCTTTTTACTACTAGTAAAGAGCAATATAATAATAACAGTATTATTTAAGTACTGTCACAACAGTTAGAGTAAAGGTTGCCAATAACCTGACTTCTGTTCTTGACTCTGCTAACCAATTTTTGGGGGGACCTTGGGCAAGTCACTGAACTTCTCTGAGACTCAATTTTCTAACCTATAAAGTGGAGCCTCTGGTCAATTACAGGACTGCTGTGTGTATTAGATGTAACACTTCCAAAGCGTCTTAGTCTGTGGCTGTGTCCCAGTCTCAGACAAGTCCCACTTTTGTTATCAGTGGCGGCGTCATCATCATCACCATCTTCTCCACCCGCATCACTATGACCGTCATCACTGTCATTATCGGGGTTGGCATTGTAAGCAGAAAATATGACTGAAGGATTACTTATAGAACAAGGCATGTAGGTTTCACACTATATTAATTTCCTAGGGCTGCCCTTTAAAAAGTACCCAAAACTGAGTATCTTCAAACAACAGAAATTTATTCTCTCAAGGTTCTAGAAGAGGAAAGTCTGGAATCAAGGCGTCAGCAGGGCACACTCCCTCCAAAAGCCCTGGAGGAGATTCCTTCCTGCCTCCTCCAGACGCTGCTGGCTCCTGGTGTTCCTTGGCTTGAGGAAACAGAACCCCAATCTCTGCATCTGCCTTCACGGGGCCACCTTCTCCGCGTGCTCAAATCTCCCTTTCCTTCCTCTCATAAAGACACCATAAATCATTCTCAAAAATCCAGAAAGATTTCATCTTGAGATTCTTAACTTTTACATCTGCAAAGACCCTATTTACAAATAAGGTCATATTCTGAGGTTCTGGGTGGACATAATTGGGGCAGAGGAGGGTCATTGCTAACTTCAATAAATGCTCAAGGCTGACTGGGACATGTTTTAGGAAAAATTTTAAGTCTGAATTCAGGATTCGTAGAAAAGAATACCAGGATCATGAGCAAAGCATGGGAAGTGGAAGCATATTTGTTGTGTTCTTGTCATCATTAAACACTCATCTTTGAGGGAAGTGAGACTTAAAGAAGGTTTGTCAGTGCCCAGGGTCACTCAGGGGCAAAACTGCACCAGAAATAAAATTCAGTGTCCTTTCCGCTACACAACTGAATCATCTCTGCTCATCTCAACGCTCCCCCAGAAATGACTGCAGAAATAATATAAGACCTTGAAAATTACAGACACTTTAATACTTATGTTGACTTAGTCAGATTAAAACAGTTAAGAACCATTTGGCTGACTTCCATCACACTAAACTTCCACCTGAGAACAAAATAAAAGCTGGATACAATTAAAATGAAAAAGTTTTGAAAGCCTTGCTGTAGTTGATGTTGGTATACTTCAAGGAAAATACTACTAGTAACAAGGATATTTCATGATGGCAAAAAGTGATTTAAAAAAAAGGGCCCATACAATAAGAATACATTAAAAAATCCAAAATTTGTAAGCATCTAATAATATACCTTTAAATATATAAAACAAAAAAGAAAAGATAGAATTAAGAAGACACATAGGCAAATCGTATGTACAGCTGGAGGTTTTTAATTATGTCTGCTTCTCATGGATATAAAAAGCAGACAAGAAAATCAGTAAGAATATATTGATTTGAACAAGATTAAGAAACTTGGCCTAATTGATAGATGGGACATTTATTTATATTTATATTCATATATATTCTTTGTCAGGTTCTTTTTCATTATAGAACCTATACTTTTATATTAAGAAGCCAGGGGAAAATGCAAATTAAATCCAAAGGAAGTAGAAAGAAGGAAATAATATTTTAAATGTCATAAAATAACTGTACATAAAGAAAATCAACAAATCCCCAACATTTGTTCATCCAAAAAAAAAAAAAACGTATAAAGATTGATAAACTTCTAACAAGAAAAGTGATCAAAAAAAAAAAAAAAGGGAAGAGACACAAATAAACAATGTCTGGAAAGAAAAATATTCCACAGGCATTAAAAATAAAATTAGGGGATAAAATGAACAATTTTATACCAATATATTTTAAAATGTAAATGAAATGGACACATTAATTGAAAGACAGCTTATTTAAGCTGATATAAGAATAGAAGATATGGATAATGCTGTATTAAAGAAACTAAATTTCTAAGAAAAATACTCCCATAGCATACATTTTTAGGCCTAGATGGCTTCACTAATGAATTCTTCCTCGTATTTAAGGTAAGAAATAGCAGCGGTCTAGCACAAACTCATTCAGGGATTAGAAATAGAATCTGTTTATCGAGGCCCTCACACACTTGAAACCAAACCTAACAAGGATATTACAAGAAAATTATGGAACCGTCTGTCTCGTAAACAAAGACAGACTCATATACACACCCAGGATACTCAAATCTGGTATAAGGACAGATGAAATGGCCTGCAGGACAGAGCTATGACAATTATTTTCTTCAAGGTTTCTTCAACCTTGTGCTTTTGTGGTTAAAATAAAAAGCGAACTGTCTTGTTTATTGGAAAGAAGGCAGCACAGCAGGAGACGTACCTTTCTGAAGTCACGTATACTTATTAGATTACACCAGGGAAGCAATGTCCTTTTACAAAACTCATCATGGGACTCTCTACTGGCAGTCCCTGCAGTCCTGTGTCCAAAGCCTGTCTGTGGTGGCTGAGTGACACGAATTAATTAAAAGCGAGAGTCAGACGCTGCTGGGTCCAGTCCCGTTTCTGCCATTTTTTTGGCAAGGTGGTGCTGCGAAAGTTACTTCGCCTCTCTGAGTCTTAGTTTCTCAGATCAAATAATGGGTCAGTAATATGTATCTCAAGGTAGTTAAGGGGAATAAACAAGGTATTAGGTGTGACTATGCCTAGCACAAATTCTGTCACGTGAAGTTTTATAGGTACACATAGAAAGGTAGGTATGTTCCTGAAGCTGGAGATGCTATCTATCTGCATCAGTTATTGAAATGATTCTTGCCACCTAAAGTCACTGCTGTCTACCTTTTTCTATTTATGAAGAACAATAAATACATGCCCCTAAAAGATGATCATTTACCGTTGCAGCTCCTTGTAAGGTGTCTGTGCGTACGTCAGATGCGTGCTCGTTAGAATGCACACGGTATGGCTCACAACGGGAGGGTCAGAGAGATGCTGAAGGGACCGTTTTGGGGGTTGGGGATGGGGTTGGGGCAGCAGCTCCCAATAATCAATACAAGTGCTCTAGGTGCTCAGTATCAGAGACAGTCTTGTTTCTGAAGAACTTCCTTGATAAAAGCCCTTTGGGGGTGGATCAGAGTAAAGCAAGTGATGAAAGCAGCTTTGACTCACCGAACCGCATAATATTGTGGAAAAACTGAGTCAGTAGGAACTCTGGGCTTAAACTTCTCCCCTGAAGCCAGAAACCCCTGTGAATCTATGTCTTTACAGTATCTTTGCCAAGAAATTTCCCTGCCTGGAACGTACCTTCCTATCCATGCTTGAAAAATTGTTACTCATCTTTTCTTCTTTTTTTTTTTTTTTGGACATCTTTATTGGAGTATAATTGCTTTACTGTGTTGTGTTAGTTTCTGCTATCATTACTCATCTTTTAAAAATCACACATTCACTCCATCAGGAATGTTTATGAAGCCTTAATACGTATCAAGTGTTGCGCTGGGGGCTGGTTGATAATGGGAAACAAAATCAGACCCTGACGACTTCATCCTTATGAGCTCGGCCTCTGCACTGATGTCCCCATCCTGGTCCTCAAAGCTCGGGGTGCCCACATTATGGTAACAGAGAACAATCTATGTGTTTACATGACTGTTTCCCCAGCCTGTCAGGGAGCTCCTCAAGAGGAAGGCCTAAATCCATTCATCTTTTCTTCCCCACGGCACCCTTGGGGTCTGGCACACAGTGGGCGCTCCATAAATCTTTGTTAAATGAATCATTCATTACTTATGAGGCCCTGATACAGTTGAATCTGTTCAATGATTCTGCTAATGAATATGAGAGAAATGAAAACAATTATATTCAGGAAGATTACATATTTTTGAGATATTCTTGGTTTTTTCCTATTTTATTAGATTTTATTAGCAGTCCTAGCAGCTACTTTAAAAATACCTAAAAGCTACTGTCATCAGTTTTCTAAAAAGATGAGCAATATAAATACAGGGGAAATGATGCCTGATTAGACTTTTTTGGTTTAAAATCATGAGACTTTGGGGGAGGGGGAATGGAATGAGCTTCCATTGAATTGAAAATAGCTATGTATGTGAATGACTTAAAATTCCAGGGGATTTGTTAGGTTTCCAGACTAAGCAACAATATGCTTCTAGAAATAGAAAGTGGTCAAAGACATTCACAGAATTTGACTTCACAACACGGAGGTCTGGCCCATCCTCCAAGTAAAGACTACATTGCTTATTTAAAAAGTTTCCTGAAGTTCATACAAATGTGCTGACTAGCCTTGAAAAGAAGGAAAAAATGAAAAATAAATTGTCATTACTGTGTCCAAAAAAGGCAAGAAGTCATTCTTCAAGCGGTGCTAGGCAGACTCTGGAGGCTTGAACAGCAAAAATATCAAGGGAAGCTTTGAGATAAAAGATACAGTTTTCACCTACTTATTTTGAAATAAGTAAAGTGGTTAGCCTTTATTTATCATGCTAAAAGTTACATACAAAAGGACTGAAGAGTGAAAGCATGAAAGTACCTACTTGGTCTGATGTTTAGATCCTTTCAGATGGGCATGATACTGTTCTATTGAGTTTAGAGAGACACTGCAGATGGTACATCTGTAATTGCGCCTCAGACCTGTGGACGACAGACACACAGACCTGGTTAGCTTCATCCTTGTCATCAACCACCTGAACGAATCCCAGATCTCCAAAAGGTCAGGGACAGAGTCTCTTAGAAGCCATCTGGTCTACCCCACCAATAACATTTCAATCCTTCCTTCCAAGAGCCCAGCCGACAGGTTCCTCAGCAGAAGTATGACTGTGAATACTTTGGAAGCCACCTGCCCCATTGTTGGAGGACTGAAATTATTAAACATACTTCTTTGAGGTAAAGTGTTTCCGGATACTTTGTAACCCAAACAAAGAAGCAATCTATTTTTTCCTTATGGCAGAGAGACATGTAAGCTGTCATTTCTGCAGTGAAACTTGAGACTCCAGAGAAAAACTCAGTCTCAATTCCTCTTCCACCTCTATTCCAAGGACCGAATCAGAAATTCAAGTTTAGATATCATTCATCTGAGCTCTTCTCCCAAGACCATCTTTTAAAATGTAGGATGCTATCTTAATTTAACCCACATGTAAACTTACTTTCCACCAGAGAGTTGAAAAGAAAGTTATTGACTCTTTATCCATTTCATTCATTCATTAACAGAGTGTCAACTTTGGACCAGGCACTAGGGATTTCAAGATGAATAAGATGCTCTTTGTTTCCAAGGAGTTTAGTGAAAACCTTGACTCCTCTGTCGCTCCTCATCTAGAGTCGGATGTGTTTGAAAGAAGCATCAACCAAACAACTTCCACAGCTCCTATTCCTGCTATGTCCCATCAGAGTGGAGAGGAAAAGGAGATTCAGGGTCATGGTCTGAGACTTTGGATTTTAAATCCTGGCTCCAAATATTCCTCGTTGTGTAATGTAGGGGAAGCCACATAATATCCCCCTGGCCTCAGTTTCTTCATCTACAAGATGAAGACGAGTCCATCCACATCATAAGGTTTTATAAGGATTAAGTGAATAAGTCTATTCAAATGCTTAGCAACTAAGACTTGTTGTTCTTAATTTTGCTCCAAAATTCTATATCTTCCCATTGTCAGAGCCAGGATAGTAAACAGCTATAGCATTTTTTTCCCCCCTGATGAATGCATAGTATTTTCTTTCTAAGACACAAAAATCATTCTTATTTCCCTAAAAAGAAAATAATGCACAGTGTTGGAAAGAATTTTGCAACCTGCTATCTGGGTGACTTGACACAAATTATTTGACTTCTCTGAACTTCTGTTTCCTTATAGGATTGTGGGAAGGACTGAGTAAGATAAGGTATGTATGAAGGAGCGTCTGGTATACAACAAGTGATAAACATAAACTAGCTGCTATTATGATTGCAAAGAGATATTGCAAGGGAATCTTGATTTCCCAGTATCTTGGATGAAGCCCCCGAAGACACAGATGCTAGCTACACCCCCATGACTAAAGTGGAGTAGGAGAGCCCCAGTTCAGGGCCTCCAACAGAAGTGGTCAAGAGCCATTTTCCACCTAAAGCTGATCCCTCACCACCAGTCTGAAAAAGAGATTGGAGAAGAAAGAAAGAAACAGAGAATTTCTTAAAGGGAGCTCTATCATACTATGAGTTTGACTTAACCCTCTTCCATGTGAGATGGGGGATTCCTTCTCTCTCACCTCGAACCCATAGGAAAAGGATTCAGTGGAATACTCAGAGAGCTTGAGGAATGCCTTATTGTGCTTGGAGCCCAGTGTCCTGGACTCGACAACACTGACAAGATCCAAAGTCTGGAGCCTGTGTCTACTTAGCTACTCTGATGGCGAAGTAAGAGAGGTGGAAGGACTGGGCCTGACCTGTATTCTCAGAGCTTGTCAGAGCAAATGATGTGAAGTTTCCCACAGACCACGTGTGTGCCGTGTGTGAATGGTGGGGGCAATGTGACCTCAGCGGAAGGATGCTAGCAGGGTTCAACTGGATATCTAGGGCCTTAAAGTGACCCCAGAGGAGGTACATAGCCTATGGGCTAAGTATCAAGTAATGCTGAGTTCTTGAAAAAGCCATAAAATCACCCCATGAGAAAGAGTCAGGCAGTGTCTATGCGAGTTTTGTATAGGTATCTATCAAATAAACCTTTATCTCCCTCGCCTTTCTAACGTGATACCCCGCATCTCTCAGCCCTGGACGAACCTGAGGCAGAGATAAAGGAAGAAAAGCAAAAGCCACAGGCAGAGAGGACGAGAAGAGCCTATGCACCCTTTTCCCTGGCAAATAGGCTGCCCAAGCAGAACTGAGCTAAGGGAGGGGGAAAACTCACTTCCAATAAAGTTTGGAGCTGTTTAAAAATTATTTTTCTACCCTGTGGGAACTAAGAATGTCACCTGCCATTTCAGTAGACAAAGGAGTCATCAGCCACTGCAGGCCTCCTGACAATGGGGCTCCCCGAGGGGATTCAGGATGGAGAAAAACAAGATATTGGACCGAGATAGTTAAGATGCATATCAAAGGATCACTTCAGTGAACCCAAGACTCTTGCCATACATAGAAAAGCACTAAAATCATTAACTTGAAATGTTTTGTTCTTATGATTAGCAGTAATCTTGTGATGATTGAACACATTTTTTTTTTTTTTTTTTTTTTTTTCTCAGCAAAAACTCCTATATATCCTGGCTTCTCCCTTACGTTTTTGGAACACTCCCTCAGAGCTCTCTGAAAGGCTGTGTCCCAGGCTAAAGTCCTCAGTAAGTTCACTGAGTAAAGCATAATTCTCACCCTTGAACCTGTGCAGTTTTTTTCAGTAGATAAAAACTACCTAAATTTTCCAGGCACAGATCGACAGTTACAAAAGAGACAACTCTTGTCTCTCTATTCCCTCAAGCAGTGGCTCCCAAACATCCCAGTGCATCTTCTGGGGATGGTGCTCAAATGCAGATTCCCAGGCCCAGGATCTGCCGGTTCTGATTCTATAAGCCTTGGATGGGGTCTGGGAACCTACAAGAAGTTTCAGACTTGTAACCCTCACCTCCAACACACATACACACCTACCTTACAGAGTACCGCCCTCTAGTGCCATGGTCCTTTCGTTAACTTGAACTTGTCAAAACAATACTGGGTCTTAAAGAAAAACGTTACAAAGAAGAGCTGTGCTTCCAAGGCTCTTCCATTTCACTCGCCGGTGTGCGTGACTCAGGAAGATTACCATAGTCCCCAAACCCAGAGGCAATAAGTTATCACAACCTACATTTGAGTTGTTTGAATGTTTCTCTGGGGCTGAGCCATTCTCCTCTGTTATGCACAGAACATGAAAGCTAGCTTCAGCCTTCCTACCTCCAGAGTTCTCCATCAGTCTTGTCATAATAAATGGTAACCAGTATTTATATGGGTCCTCTTCACACTACAGACTCATCAAAGGTCTCCTCATAACGAATGGAGGTTGAGCATGGCAACAGGCATAAAAATTTATGTTTAAAAGTGGGCCTTCTTAAGAGCACCAACAAATCTAAAAACTATTCTGATCTGTTGCTTTTCCATTACAGTTCTCCTGCTCTGCAGCCAAACAGAAGCGTGGGCAGGAAATATTTGGCACGTTACTGTGATGCAAACTGCAGGAAGCATAAACTATGAAGGCAGTGCATATAAACAAGAACAAAGGCAGAGAAGGGGCAGAGGAGTCCTCTTCCACACGTGACACAGTGTCCTTGGTGGGAACTTAGGGCTTTATTAATGCTGAGTTGAAACTCTAATGACTTTGGAATTATACAGCTCCTTTTTCCTCAGAGAAATAGAGAATCCTATTAAACAAAAACGCTAACTTTCTCATTCACTTCATTTTCAATGCAATACCATTTTATGAGTATCCCGAAACGTCTGCAGACGTAATGGTTATTTCTGCAGGATTGCCAATATGTGTTCAGAAATATCGCCCCTGCCTGCAAGGACCTGACAATCCAGTTGGAGAGGGAAGATATGTACAGAAACAGCAATGGTACAAGGTCAAATCACAAAAAGTACCACAGTCAGGATGAAGTGGAATGCTAGGGGAATGAGAGGAGGAGATGGTTTCCAACTCAGAGAATCCAGAAAAGTTTCTTGAAGATGCTTCACTTTTGCATTTATATTCCCTAGCACAGTGTGTAAAACAGATGGTCCTGGAGAGTTTAGCAGTGTGACTACTCAATGTGTCTTTTCAATTCTAGCAAAGCTAGACTTCAGATGCCCCTGTAACTTCAGTTGCGTCCATTCCACATTAGGGAAATATCACTGTGCCTTTATCATGATGCCAGGTATTTTGCCAAATGCCAAGAACGTAGGAGAATATAAAATGAATTTTCATATGGAGCTACTCAGGTAGAAAGACAAGAAGCAAGGAAACAAATAAAAACATTGTGGAAGTATTGCACAAGATGTAAAGAGGAAAATGAGACAGTCACAGAGAGGAAGGCTGGTTTTGGATAGCATGGTCAACAGAGGTCTCTGAGAAGCGTGAAATGAAACCAGAGAGATGAGAATTAGCCTGTGATATGAGGAACTGGTTAGGGAGAGAAAAGAGCAAACAGAGAGACGAGGGTGAAGTGGAGTTGGATCGTTTGAGGAAGAAAAAGTGGTGAAACAAGCAAACGAACAAAACAAAACAATCAGAATTCTATATCCAGCAAAAATATCCTTCAAACTTTCAAGTAGAATAAGGAAATTTTCAATAAACAAAAACTAAAAAGAACAGCCTGCCAACAGACCTGCGCTAGAGAGATGCTTATAAAGTTCTTCAGGTGGAAGGCAAATGACGCCAGATGTAAACTCAGATCTACAGGAACAAATAAAGAACACCATAAATGATTAATATGTCGGTGTCCTTTTTATTGCTCTAAATTTATCTGAAGATAGAGAGCAATTTAAAGCAAAACTATAACGCTGTGCTGTGTATTGTGGTGCTTATACTGTATATAGATGTAAAATATGTGACAATAGCCCAAGAATGGGTAGGAGTTTGAGAGCTCATGATATTGTGTATAAAATCTAATAATAATAAATTTACCAATATTAACTCTAAATGACAGTGGTCATTTAAGGATGCGTCCTAATC